CTGCTGAAGGGCCCACGCAGCTCCAACGTCAGAGGGAAGTGCACATCCCGCGACCCGCTTTCGGCAGCGGCAGCAGTTAGCCAATACGTGGGCAGACACTGCGGACTCATCCAGCGCCAAATGAGTGCCTATACGGGGCGGACGAGCCCAAACAAAGGCGCACGCGATGCTGAAGAGCCACGGAAGGCCGCGCCCCAGCAGCCAGCAGCGTACCTCATCAGAGCACCCTAGTTGCAGCAGGGGTGAAGGGGCAGGACGGGGGTGAGAGCGGCCTGGACGGGGGTGGCGGCACGGCCATGTGCACCTCAGCGCACCTTTTTTGCAGAGGATCGTGGCCGCCCGCACCCAACATGCAGCCAGCAGTTGGGCCAGAGCACGGCCAGGTGCACCTTAAGTATATCCTGGCCAAGGGAGCGCGGCCGTCTGAACCAAACACCGGCATTTGAGGCGATAGCATGGTTCGTTAAGAAATTGCGAGGGTATCTCGGGCGAAACGGCTGACTGACGGAGTGGTCCATGGCTCCCGGTCCCCAATGTGGTACACCTGGAGCTCCACGTCCGAGGCCTCTTGGGAAACGCTGTTCGGCAGAAGCCATCGCTGAGTCTCCCTGCCGACAGAAGAGGCCGAAGAGCTCTCTTCTGAAATGAGGCGCGCGCGGCCCTTGTCCAGAGCTCGCGCATCCCTGGAGGCTTGGACATGAGCACCGACACCAAAACAGGGGGTTGCCTCGACCAGGAGAAGGTGATCATAGAGTTTGATGTTGGTGGACATATTTCGGTCATCTCGGAAGCCAGTGTCTTACCACTATCGGGATCATCTTCCCTCGATGGAGGCACGCCGCCGATATTGGTGCTACGGTGGGAGCATTCGTTAAGGAACGTGCCCAGGAGGCTTCAGACCCTGGAGGCTTCCTTATCTGATGAGGGTGGCGGGGATATCCTTGGCCAGTCCGCGATTGGCTTTCCACTGGCTTCCACACCCTGGGTTCCCTATCGAAGGCTTCCTTGTCCAATGCCGTCACCGAACCCCGATGGTCCGCTACCGAAAATTTCCGGTAGCGCTCCGCAGAGATCGGTCGCTACCGAAATACCGAAATGCAGCGCCCAATACCGGTATCAGAGCGTTCTGAAGTCCGCTCTTTCGACGCCCTCCAACGAAGATCCGGTCGCTGCCGAAGCTCGGGGTGCGACGAAATCGCTACCGAAAATCTCCGGCACCAGACCATCTGGGAAGTGTCAACCTCTAGGCCTCCGACATCCGCCCGTGGGGCGGGGTGCCGACGGCCTGCCGGCCGCGAGCAGCCTCTGCGGCCACGCGCCGCTGCGCTCCCGAGGGCGGTCGGCGGTCGTAGCAGGCCGCGCGCCCGCCCGGTGGCGGAGGCCCGCGGACGTCGAGCGGAGACGCCGTCGAGGGCCCTGTCCCTCGGCTTCTGCGCACTCGGCCTACCCCACCCTCCCCGCACGGGGGGGGGGGAGGAGGAGGAGGAGGAGGAGGAGGAGGAGGAGGAGGAGGAGGAGGAGGAGGAGGAGAGGAGGAGGAGGGAGGAGGAGAGGAGGAGGAGGGGGAGGTGGGAGGTGGGAGGAGGGAGGAGGTAGGAGGAGGAGGTGGAGGAGAGGAGGAGGAGGAGGAGGAGGAGGAGGAGAGGAGGGAGGAGGAGGAGGAGGAGGAGGTAGGAGGAGGAGGGGGTGGTGATGGTGGTGGTGGTGGTGGCTTCTACACACTCAGCTTGCCGGCCGTCGGGTCACTACGCCTCTGCGGCGTGCGACAGGGGTCCTCTCCGCGCCTCGCGCCCGCCCCAAGCGCAGGGACTAGAGGAAGAAGACTGGGCGAGCGAGCGAGCCACGCGAGCATGCCTGTCCGCTGCTCGGCCCTGCGCAGGGCGGGGGGTGAGCAGTTAGTTCAGTCGCCAACCAACAGATAAGTGAAACATTATCAGCAAATGGAATTTGGGAGTTCGGGAACACGCAGAAGAGGCCATGAACATGCATACTTGGACGGTCCGCGCGGTTGTCTTGGACCTACGCCGGACCGCAGGAGGCGCCGCCAGGGGGCTCCAGCGCAGATCCGAAAGAGCCGTGCGGACCGTCGAAGGCTTCTGCTTCTGCCCTCGAAGCGCAGCACGGCGGCCTCCTCCCATTCTTCTCCTCCTCCTCCTCCTCCTCCTCCTCCTCCTCCTCCTCCTCCTCCTCCTCCTCCGCGCCCTCCTTCGAGGGAAGGCCTCCTCGAGGCGCAGCCCGGCGGGGCGCGGGGGATCAGCGCAGGGGCGCCGTCCGGCTCTCCCAGGGGGGGCGACACAGAGGGGGGTCCAGGAGGCAGGCTCGCAAGGACCGGGGCACCTGCGCGGCTCAGGGATGGCCTGGGGACGTGCTTGAATGCTAAGATAGGGGCACAAAAAGTGGCACAAACAAAACAACTCGGAGGTCCGCGCGGATTTCTCGGGTCGGCGCTGGGGCCCCCCGGCGGCGCCTCCGGCGCCGCCCCTGGCGCGCTCCGCTTGCCAGGGAGGGGGGTCCAGCGCCGATCCGAGAAATCCGCGCGGACCTCCGAGTTTTTATGTTTATGTCACTTTTTGTTCCCCTATAAGAAGCGCCCTGGTCTCTGGGGAGAAACCATGGCCCCGGCCATGATCCGCCACCGTGCCCGCGGCACGTTGAGGCGTGGAAGAATGCCAAGAAGGGCTGCCCGGCAGGATGTCTGTAGTCTGCCAAGGGACCCCCCCGTCCTCCCAGAAATTTCGTACCATCCTTGAATACTCCTCCTGTGCAGGGACACGCTCGACTTGAAGCTGACCCCCCTGGCCGCCCCCCATCCTCGGCGCGCTCGTCCGTGTGTGCCGCCGGGCTTCCTCTCTTCCTGTCGCGACGGGGCTCCTCCTCCTCCTCCTCCTCATCCTCCTCCTCCTCCTCCTCCTTCCGTGCATTGCGGCCTTACTTTGCATACAGCGTGTCCTCTGTGGCCTTTCCGCCGGAGCAGTCGCCCTCTGCCCAGCCGCAGACGCCAAAAGGCGTGTGCTGCCGAGCGCGGCACGCGCGCGGCCTTGCACGAGGCGGGGGCGCCGCACCCCTGACCTTCCAGGAGGGCAAAAAAAAATAGCACCCGACTTAAAGACCGATCCCAGAGCCATTCTACGTGCTGGTTTTAGGCTGCTTCTCGCTCAGCTTTTTAGGTTTCTGAGCCTCCAGAGCTAAAAACATAGCTCTCTGCAAGGTCAGGGGAGGAGGAGGAGGAGGAGGAGGAGGAGGAGGAGGAGGAGGAGGAGGAGGAGGAGGAGGAGGAGGCGGCCGCGCGAGGGGAGGGTGGGGGGAGGCGCTCAGACGAGGAAGAGGCACCGTGGCTGTCAGTCAGGACGTGTATCAAGGACGGGCGGCAAGGACGCAAGACCCTTGGAGGCCGAAGTTGGGACTTTTTCGGCGGGCGACCAGTGACAGCGGCAGAGGACGGGCCGCAGACGCAAGGACACAAGTGTACCCTGGATGCCGGCGCGCGTCCTTCCTAGGCGCGTTGACTGTGCAGGTCCTGCGCCAGCTAGCGCAGCGCAGCAAGCCCAGACTCACACTTCGATGTTTCGGCATTTGAGGTGTCCAGCGGAGTCGAACATGCTGCCGAAGATTGGACCACCAACGCGGAGGGAATAGGCCGCGTCCCGCCTGGTGCGCAGCTCTCCGGAGGCGGCTGCAGGGCACTGATGCCGCCTGACATCAGAAGCGCATTGACTGCCGCGTCGTGCGTATCCTTGGCGCTCGTGATCGAATGTGACCGCTCTGCGTCGGGCCGCCGCGCACGGACAGGCCTGCTCGGCAGCGGCGGAAGCCTCGGAGACGCGGTCGAGACCGGTGATCCTGCGATCTGGCACCCCGTTGCCAGTCGTGCGCGTAAGCGCTGGATGATGGCCGTCTGCCCCGCCAGCGTGGGGATGGCCGCCACCTGCTTAGGGAAACAGTGGGAGAGAGCCTTACTTGACGACTGCGCGGCTCGCCGAACTGCCAGCCGCCGCTGTGCTGCTGAGGCGCCGTTGGAAGGGTTCCCCAAAATTCGCCGGCCCAACGGGTCAGGGCGTGCTAAGATCTCCGGAACAGGTCAACAGTATTTCTAGTTCGCGCGCGCGGGGCGGCCCCTAGGAGTCCCCGGGCGAAAAGTACCCCGGCAGGTCCCCGGGAGGGTGGGGGTCAGAGATGCCGGACCGGGCAATTTTTCGACACCCCTCACGAGGATCGTGGCCTCCGAGGGCGAGGGGGGGGGGCGCAATCGACAACCCCCGCCCCTGCCCCGAGAGGCCCCCGAGAGCCCCCCAAGAGGCCCTGGGGGCCTCCAAAACGCCGCCAAGGAGCCCCCAGAGACTCCCAAGAGGTCCCCAAGAGGCCCCCAAGAGGCCCTAAAGAGGGCTCCAGGGCCGGCGGAATGAGCGAAGCGATGAAATAATACCAATGTGCACGGGATGAATTGGCGTGCGGGATATATCACGGGATGTCGGCGCAGAGATTGGTCTGCGTACCATCGTTGTTAACAGTGCGGGACTTGAACGCCCGATTACAACACGCCACTTCAACTACGTGACCGCTTTCTTCGAGCGGTGGCCCCATGGCTGTGTAGGTGCGAGGCGTGGACACGGCATGCCGGTGTCGCCAACAGGTTCCTGAGCTGTTCCCTGATGAGACCACTTTCTGCCGCGGACCCAAGTCACTGCGGGAAAGGGGGGATGACGAGGCTGAGGAGCAGGAGGCGGAGAAAGGGAAGGATGGAGGGTGAAGCGAGTCCAAATGCATCTGGTGCTCCCCACGTTTCCCCATCACAGTGAGCGCCAAAGACCGCCTCTGGACCCCTAGCTCCCGTGACTCTCCTGACATCTGCGAAGTATTGCACACTCCAGATGATGCAGTAGGTATACGAACTCCAAATGTACAAAAAGGAACCCCTGCCCTTGCCTGCATCCCTTGCCTGCATCCCATCTGGAAGTCCGCTCAAGACGTCAGATCGCCCAGCGCTAGGCCGTGGAGCCGACCTGCATGCACCACCCGAGGCTGTGGAAAAACGCCACGATCTCGGCGGTGGCAACCTCCCGACCACTCCAGCCGTCGATCAAGACTCCACGCAGTGTGCGGGCGGGCTCCGGCGACGCGCTGTGCCCTGCGAGCGGGCAGCGTGCCGCTCCGCTCCGCGGGGCGGGAGGCTCGGAAAACCTGGGCACATGGACGCACGGGGAGCCCGAAGTGGATAGCGTGTCGCGCGGAGGCGTGGTGGGCCAGGACCGGCGGCGCGAAACGCTATCCAAAGGTTCTAGTTCTCGACCGCACGTTCTGGGCCTGCCCGCAACAGAGAAGAGCCGTGGGCCGAACCAGGACTACAGATTGTGGCAAGCTCGATTTCTTCGGGCTCCGGCCCAGAATTCGACTGGCTAGGCGCAAGAGTGGCCCTAGGCAAGAGTGACCTTTGGTGCGCGGACTAAGGGGGCGCAAGGTGGCCAATTCGAAGCGCGCAAGCAGCCGCTATCGCATCGCGCTCAACGATGGGGTGCACCCCGATGAACCCGCACCAAAGGTCACTCCGGCGAAGGGCCACTTACGTGTAGTCCGTTCGACTCTGGCATGCAGAGGCCTTCCCCGCGAGCCAGGCCACCCCGTCCTGCTGCTGCCGCTCCTCCTGCGACTGCTCCTGCTGCACATAGACGAGCGCGTTCCACTACGCGCAAAAGTAAGTACTCGCAAATGGCCTGGATTCGCCGCGGGACCTTTGCGATACACTACAGCGAGGCAAACATGATTTCTTCAGTTCGGACGTTTGCGAGCAGGCACTCTGCGAGCAGTGGAACGCGCTCGGCGAGCTCGTGTTGCTCAGGCTGCTCCTGCTGCTGCTCGTGCTGCCGATGCTGCCCACCTCCTTCGTCTTCGCTCCCCCCCCACTCGCCATCGCTCGGACGTCCATTCCCCCGTGCATTGTTCGATCCCGTGCGTGCATTTCCCGCAAAATGATCAAAGATGTTCCTCGATGGTCCTCGCCGAGAGGAAATGCACACGTCCGAGCGACGCCAAGCCCACGAGGCGCGTCCCACGGATGGTCCGCCCGACCGGGCCGCGCGGTGCGGGCCTGCCTCCAGGCATCGCAGGCGGGCGCAGCGCCACCGTGCTGCCACAGGGAGCGCCAAGCAGGGCAGGACGGGGCGTCGTCCGGCCACGGCGGGCTCTCGGCCACGAGGAGGCCCCCCCGACCTATCTCCGAGGCGCGGCCCGGCAACGGGTGCCCCATCCTGAGGACCATAATGTGACATTCACTCCTCCTCCTCCTCCTCCTCCTCTTCCTCCTCCTCCTCCTCCTCCTCCTCCTCCTCCTCTCTCCTCCTCCTCCTCCTCCTCCTCCTCCTCCTCCTCCTCCTCCTCCTCTCCTCCTCCCTCCTCCTCCTCCTCCTCCTCCTCCTCCTCCTCCTCCTCCTCCTCCTCCTCCTCCTCCTCCTCCTCCTCCTCCTCCTCCTCCTCCTCCTCCTCTCCTCCTCTCCTCCTCCTCCTCCTCCTCCTCCTCCTCCTCCTCCTCCTCCTCCTCCCCCCTCCTCCTCTCCTCCTCCTCCTCCTCCTCCTCCTCCTCCTCCTCCTCCTCCTCCTCCTCCTCCTCCTCCTCCTCCTCCTCCTCCTCCTCCTCCTCCTCCTCCTCCCCCCTCCTTCTCCTCCTCCCCCTCCTCCTCCTCCTCCTCCCCCTCCTCCTCCTCCCAGCCTGTTGGTCGTACCCGCGTGCTTCTCCACCCTCCCGGCCGGGGGCCTGCCGGCGACGGCGCCCCGAGTCATGGGCTGTGGAGCGGCACTCTGCGCTCTACGGGGCGATCACGCCCTGCCTCTGAGCGCCTCGACCGGCCCTCGATCCGCGACCGCTGCTCGGCCCTGGACCCCCTCGACCTTCGAAGCGACTGCGGACGGGATCGGCCCCCTCTCTGGCGGCGTGGAGTGGGACCAGGAGCTCTGTCTTCGGGAAGTCTCGATCGAGTGACGTGCGTCGGCGGGAGAGTCTGGTGGACCGCCCACCGTGCATCGTCACCTCCTGGTGGCCTGAGGGACCACCTGGTGTTAAGTCGGGCGTGTCCCCCCTACAGGGAGATCTTGGGCGAGCAAAATACGAAAAAAAAATGCACGCCGGAACGAATTTGTCCTCGTCCTAGCCCCGCGTCCGACCCCGACGTGCTCAACAGCTCCATGCGGAGGTTTCTCCATCGTTTTCGGCCTCCCCTGAGATACGACGTCTCGAACAAATCGACACAGCGCGAGAAATCACGACTGGAGCCCCGGACCCCATCTTCCTGCGCCACCTTTCGGAACACGGATCCCTCCGTGATGCGGGCAATAGTTATATCCACATCCAGTACGTCTTGGATTCTTGGGCTCTCTTCCCCAGAAACCGTAGACGCACTGGACATGGATAAACATCTGGCCCCCAGAGGCCTGATTTTGACCACATCCAGTGCGCCTCGGCGTTGCCGCACCTCTTCCCGAAAAGTCCACGACGCTCTGGATATGGATAGAAGTACTGCCCGCACGTGAGGGCCCCGGGGGCCCGAAGCGGGGCGGGAACTTCCTGTAGCCCCGCCAGAGGAGGATGAGGATGAGGATGAGGATGAGGATGAGGATGAGGATGATGATGATGATGATGAGGAGGAGGAGGAGGAGGAGGAGGAGGGGAGGAGGAGGAGGAGGAGAGGAGGAGGGGGAGGGGAGGGAGGAGGAGGAGGAGGAGGAGGAGGAGGAGGGAGGAGGAGGAGGAGGAGGAGGAGCGAGTGCTGGCCCGCAGGTGCCCGACCCGGAGCGGAGGGCCGCGGGGAGGGGGCGAGGGCCCCGAGCGCCCCCCCAGGGGGCCGGCGCCCCCCAGGGGGCAGCGAGGGCGGGGGGCCCCATGGAGGGCCCCCCTGGGGCCACAGGGCGGGACCGGAGGGGGCCCCCACCCCTGACCTTCCAGGAGGGCTAGAAAATAGCACCCGACCTAAAAACTTATCCTAGAGCTATTCTGTGTCTTGGTTAGGCTCTCTCGTTTCGTTTTTTAGGTTTTTAGGGCTCCAGTGCTAAAAAATAGCTCTCTGGAAGGTCAGGGACTGGGGCTCGGGCTCGGAAGGATCCTGGAAGGGTCCGGCTCCCTGACCTTCCAGAGAGATCGTTTTTTAGCACTGGAGGCCCAAAGACCTAAAAAGCGGAGCGGAGCAGCCTGAAACCAGGACGTAGTATAGCTCGGGGATGGGCTTTGAGGTCGCGTGCGATGTTTGTTAGCCCTCCTGGAAGGTCAGGGATGGAACGGGAAAGGCCAGACAGGCTCGCGTCGCAGCAAAGAGAGAGTCCGGGCGGGAGGTATTCTTGGCCGTGGTCGGCCTCGGGGGCCCTCGCCGCGCCTCGGGGGACCGTCAAGCAGCGACTCGGGATGAAAAACCGGTCCCCGGGGCAGGGTCGGGATTTCCAGGGACCCGTACAGGGCAGTTTTTAACACATAGGATTTATTTATATATATATAGGGTTTTAATACATGATCAATTCATGAATAAATGTATGCATGAACTCCTCGTTGTTGCTAATACTAATTCCCTGCATTTTTAATACATGATCCGCACGCGGAGCATGTACTAAAAACGGCACTGTACTGAAAAGATCAGGACGTCGCATGTCTGGAAAGAGGTCTCGACAAGAGGGCGCGCGCAGCCCCCGCACGTCCCCCGTGCACAGCCTTGCACACAGCCCTCGCGCAGACCCCTCCTATTACACAACCACCTTGCACAACGCCTCCCAGACTCTGTGCTCCTCCAGAGCACATCATATCTGTGAGAGCTCGGGCTTCCGGTGGGAAAAGCCGGAGAGCGATGAGCCAGCTCGCCGTCGCTCGGGCGTCCTGTCCCCGTGCCTTGCTCGACTTCGTGCGCACCTGCTTTCTCGCACGAGAACCCAGAGAAGCTCTTCGATGGGCCTCGCCCGCACAAAAACGCACACGTCCGAGCGATGCCAAGCCAGGGGGGACACGACGACGACCATGCCCAACGGCACCTCGCAGCACTCTCCGGCAGGAGCAGCGGAGACGGGGCACCTGGGGTCCGGCGCCGGCCAGAAGGCACCACGCCCCCGCGGGGGGGGGGGGGGGGGCGCGGGAGATGGGAGGGGCGCGGGCGAGGGGGGGGGGAGACGCGCGAGGGCGTGAGGGCACGTGGGAGGGGCGGGAGGGGCGAGCGCGGTGCTCCAGCTGCAGCGTTGGCTACACTCCAGGACGGGTGCACTGCCTCCATCGCGCGGGGCGCTCTCGCCCCAGCGCGGGCCACCTTCCTGAATCCCACCTGTTCCCCGTCGGTGCCCTCCTTCGCCCTTCCCCGATCCTCCTGCTCCCCCTTCTCCTCCTGCGCCTCCTTCCCGATCCTCCCTATCCTCCTCCTCCGCACCCTCAGGCCATCCGCCTCCTGCCACTGCTGCTCCTCCTGCCGGTGATCCCTCTCCTCGTCCTTCTCCCCCGATGCACCGGAGCCCCCCTCTCCAACTGCACCGCACACGGTGGCTCACACCCGGCAGCTGCCACGGGGACACCAAGGCCTCTCTTCGTATAACCTGGCTCGTCCACCGCACGGGTTGCGGGCGGGAGGGGGCCGCACGTGGCGCGAGCGCGCCCAGCTTGCCCAGCTTGTTCCCATCCTACTTAAGGACCGCATCCCAGAAATAATTTCAAGCACCCGGGAAAGTGTCAAAAGAGTGTCGAAACGGTGTCGGGCGAGTGTCTCCCAGGGCCCGACACGTGAAAACCCTGGAATTTCTGTACTTTTTTGGGCGCTCGAAATTCGCCCTGGCGATCAAGGCTGAAGTAGGTTGAAGCATCATACTCCAAATCCCTTATTAATCGACCCCCCCCTAAAAAACCGGACCCCCCTCCAAATGCGACCTAATATTCCGGACCCCCTCTTCGATGGGGCGCCTTAATAAGCCAGACCCCCGCAGCTCCAATCCGAAGAAAGCGACCTAATAAACCGGAGCCCCTTAATGACCAAAAAGGCGCCTTAAAAAACCGGACCCGGGGGACGATTAATAAGGGATTTGGAATAACCCTCCCCCCTCTTCATCCGTGCCAGGGGCGGCACCGGAGGCGCCACGACGTGGGCCGGCGCAGACCCCAGAGGAGTCCGCGCGGAGCTTCGATGGCTCTTGAGCATGCCTGTGCGCGTGATGCGAGCCTGCTCCTCGTCCTGCTGGCCAAGAGGACGACGACTAGCATTTGAAGTCGGGCCTGTCCCTCTACAGGGGGAATATTCAAAAATAGTCAAAAAATAGTCTGGGGACATCTTTTTTTGTATTCTTTGGCATCTTTTGCATATGTGTTTGATATTCTTTTATTTGTCGTCCAAAATTCCCCTGTAGGGACCGAAGAGGGAGCAGCGACCTAAGACTAAGACTAGCAGCGACCTAAGACCGAAGAGGGAGCAGCGTCCAAAATCCCCCTGCATTTCCGACCTAAGACTAGCAGCGACCGAAGAGGGAAGGATGCGGGTCGACCGACCCGGTCTCCTGCTCCGCCCCAGGCATCCGCTCCCTGGCCCGCCGGCGACGATGGTGGCGCGGTGGAACGGGACGAGGGCCGCCACATGACATCAGGAGGACGACGACCGGGGGCAGGACGCACGGGCGCGAGGGCAGCCGCTCCACGCCGGCGCCGCTCGTGGAGGCGAGGGCGGGAAGCACAAGGGGCTCCTGGCCCCCTCGGGGCCCCCCCAACCCCGGCGGCGGCGTCCCGAGGGAGGCGGGGGGGCCGTAGAGAAGAGAAGCGAGCAGCAGGAGAGGAGGAAGAGGATGGGGGGGCGGGGGAACTCAGGAGGCAGCGCATGGGGAGCCCTCGGAGGAAGGATCAGGGGCGTTGCAACCCGAATCGTACCTGCTGAGGAACTACAAAGCCAGGCTGGCCCAGACTAAGCCCGCAATCAGACAAGATCCAGCCAGAGCAAGCGGGATTAAGGCTGGATTCAACCGGATTCACCCAATTTTCGACCTCGGATATACCAGCGCCGGTGCTGAATTTGACGCCCCAGGACCTGCATCCGAAGAGGAGCACAGCATTGGGACTGCGTCTGGGAGCAGGTGCAGGAGGAGGCAGGGAGCAGGTGATCCCGCCGCTTCCCTAGCGTGCCGTTCCCTCCCCACCAGCATGTCGGTGGATCGCCACTTGTACTTGCGGTCGCAGAACGGGTCATGGCCGACGGAGACCTCGGTGCACCTCGCGGCGCCACGGCGGTGGGCAGATGCGCTGCCTCCTGCGCCTGCGCCTGGGATTTCCCCGCGCTCCGTCAAGGCACCTGCACCATGCATGCAGCTCACGCCAGAGATGCAACCACAAGTTTCGGATGAGGCCACCGAGCGGATATGATACCCCCTACAGTCAGTGGGATGATGCTACTTGTGGAAGTTGGAGAACGGGTGTACATCTGGGGCGGTATTCGCGCGTTGATCCTTGCTGCGTCCTTAGTATTCCTTTGAGAAAAAGGCGAGAAAACAATGCTACAAATCTGGACGCAATGAACGCGACGACGCCGGGTGGCTCTGACGATGTATCATGGTTGGGCGACCTCTGCAAAATCGAGGGGCGCATTGTGTACTCTTCGTTGGGTGGCCATTCCAAAGCTGACGGGCGCGCCTGGTTCCTGGCTGGACCACTCCCCACTTCTGCACCTCGATGGGTTGGCTTCAAATTTGGAGGGCGGGGGCAAGCTCCCCGCGGCGCGATTTTTATTCTGGCCCTTTCATTGAAACCAGACTTGTAGGGTCCCCATCCGCCGCACCCTGCCCCTCCCCTCCCCCCCCTCGCAGGCATGTCGCTCCAGCGCCTACTTTCCACCGTGCAAGGACGCTCCAGCAACCCACGCCGAAAACTGGGGTGCGCTCCAGCGCTGCCTGTTTATCTACCGCGAACGTTCAAACAGCCTGCGGAGTGAGCTGCAGCCTGTCTTTTTACAAAGCGCGAGCCTTGAAGCAGTTTGAGCAAAAAAGGGGTGTGACGCCGCCGTCGCCGTCGCAATCGCCGCCGTGGTCGTCGCCGTCGCCGCTCTCGCCGTCGCCGCCGTCGCCCTCTCGCAGGCACCGTCTGTCGGCGTCGCCGCCGCGGTCGTCATTGCCACTCTCGCCGTCGCCGGCGTCGGCTTCGCCAGCGCAAACGCCGTCGCCGCCGCCACCGCCATCGCCAACGTCGACGTCGCCATCGTTGTCTTGGCCGGCGGCGGCGTAGTCGGCCCTTTTGCCGGCGCCGTCGTTGTCGCTGACGTCGCCGTCGTCACCCTCGCCACTGTCGCCATCGATTCTGGCGTTGTCGTCGTCGCGGCCACCATCGCCATCGCTGTCGTCGCGATCTGGTTAGACATGCACACTCGTAACTAAAAAAACTGACTATAGTTTTGTTGGACATGGGATCTTCACAGCACAGTATCCAAGGGAGTCACCAGCCCTCCTGTTTGCGCCTTGGCCTGCGATCCTGCACTGGCACGGGGGAGGCCGAGGAGGAGGATAATCTACCTCGTGAACCCCCCTTCGGGCAATGAGAAGGTTTGGGGGTGGAGCTGGATCGAGCATTCGGTTTGCGATTGGCGTCGGACCAGACGAGCATTGTATCTATCGACTACGCGTCATGGCCACAACCGGCCCCATCCGAGAGCCTGGAATATGTTTGAATATCTCTGGATAACTCAAAGTAGTAAAGATCCCCATTGGTTCGAAAAAAAACATATTCAAACATATCCAAAGAGAATCACAACATTCAAGCCAGACGTTTTGGGATTTGGGCTGGGATTCGGGACTGGTCCTGGGACGGAAAACGCGCCGTTTGGTCAACCAGCTCCCCCTCGGGTACCCAATGCAAACTGTAGGGTGCGACGCGTATGCGTTGCTGTTGATTGCAAGGGGTGGGCCCAAACCTGGCGGCTTAGATGAGGGCGTAATCACGCGATGCGGGTGCCGACGCGAGGTCAACCTCATTCCATCAGAGAAATAACCCCGCACCCTTTTGGCCAGCACCAAAGGTCACTCTGGCGAAGGGTCACTCTTACGTGTAGTCGAATCTACCCATCGATCCTGAGACCCGCTGGTCTCACTAGTTACCTCGCTGTTCTCACGATCTACCTTAAGATCTTACGACCAGTCGATTGATATCACGACTGATTCAAAGATATTCAAGCCCACCTATGTGCTGATATCACTGTATGTCGGAAGCACGACAAGGCATAAACACATGAAATACAATGCTATCATGACGATCTCACCAACTATGGATCTCTCTTGCCATCCACTAGAACCCTTCGCTTCCCTTGGACATGCACCAGGCGCGTACGTACCATCCTTCACCTGCCCGCACGCATACACCGGGCAATCATCACACACAGGTGCTATTAGTGGAGGGATAGATCGATGGATTTATGGACGGATGCTTGCAGGCAAATCGCGCGCTTGGTATACATCCGACGGCCGTTCGGAGCGTATAAGACGCTGTTCCGTTTGAGTAGTCGTCCTCGGCGTCATCGGCGTCGCCGTCAGCCCCCCAAGGAAGCAAGGGCAATTGAAGAACACCATAGTTGAATCGAATTGAAGCCCTGCCTGTTGAGTCCTTCCCTGCCCGGGGGGGGTCCCCGGGGGATGGGGAGTCCGGGGGGTCCTGGGGGGGGAAAAGGGAGGGGGGAGCACGAGTTAGAATACAATCCCCCAGGGGGTCCCAGCGCCCCAAAAGTGCCAAGATGGGCCAACTGTGCCCCAAGGGGCTGCCAGGTCGATCCAGGAGGGCCCTGAATCGCCGACCGATCGGTCCAAGACCCCCAGGGTAGCCTCCAGACAACCCGAAGGCGTCCAAAACGCCCCATGAGGCCTCCAAGAGCACTCCCACGAAGGACCCGCGAAGCAGACTTCATTGATTCCAATTCGGTGTTTGATTTCCCGACGCTCAACGACGGCCCAAAAGGCTTCCAAGACGGCACAAGACGGCCCCAGAGGCCGCAAAGGCGGTCCCCAGGAAGCCCAAGAGGCCCCAAAGAGGCTCCCGAGAGGCCCCCGAGTGAACGTCGTCATCGTTGCAGTCGCCGCCGTCGTCGTCGTCGTCGTCGTCGTCGTCGTCGCCCCTTTTCAGGGTCGGCGGCATCGGCCTCAAGGCCTTCACAATCATCTGGGCTGTGGTGTGGTGGTTGGTCGATGTGTGGTGGTGAATCCTGTGAATGCGGTGGCCAATGAAGAACAAACACTTCAAGTGATTGGGCAATGGGATGTGCGGAATTGTCTATCCACTTTGTCTGGGCCAACCAGCGGGACTAGCCATGCGGGAACACGCAAAACCATCCGCGGGACTCCCGACGACACAACTCACGCGACAACCGCGAAAGAAGGCCCAGGATTACCCACGGACCACCGCGGGATATCTCGTGGGACAACCCATAAACCAGCACAAAACAACTCACGAACCATCCTGCCGAGACAACCGCGGGACAACTCACGCAACAACCGCAGACGAAGGCCCAGAACTATCCACGGACCACCGCGGGCGGGATATCCCGTGGGACAACCCACAGAACAGCACGGGACAACTCACGAACCATCCTGCCGAGACAACCGCGGGACAACTCACGCGACAACCAGGAGATCCTGGGGAGGGGGACAAGCGGGCGCGGCCTAACCGAACCCTTCCGTGACAAACCCCTTCCACGACAGACCACTCACCTTTCAGGCCCCTATCCTAGAGGGCAAAAAATCCCCCCCCATAAAAACCACCCCGACAAGCGAAACCGTTCACTAAACGCCCCCACCGAAGGAATCGAACAGGGCCGGGTTGTTTAGTAAACGCCCAAGGCCATTTAGTAAACGCCCAATGTCCGGTCCGGGTGGTTTTTCCTCCCTTGACCTCCGGCCGCCTGCCCAAGTCTTGGAGAGCAAGGCGATGGTGGTTGTGACGGAATGGGGTGGTCTGTTGAAGTGTGGTCAGGCCGCCCCTGGGAGGAGACGGGATTTGCGTGCCCCGCCTGCGGGCTCCGAGCGAGTCATCCGCAGAGGTGCACTACGCAGCGCTCTCACTATCGTGAGTGGGGAAACCCAAATCGCGGAAACCCAGCCCATGAGCTCGCGCGCGACCCCGTCCCCCACCCTCTGCAAAGCCGCCCATTCCGCACTGTGGAGCTCCTCGATTGCGCCGGCGTTGAAAGCCGTCTCCTGCCGCGGTCTGGTCGGGGTGAAACGCGAGCGGTTGACGTCGACTCCGTCGTCTTCGACGAACGCTTGCGCGATCATCTTCGCGGAGAGCGCGGCAAGGCCGCCTCGGGCCTGGCGGGAGGGAACGGGGCCCGAGGACAGCGCGGACCGACGTCGTCTTCGCCGCCCGTCGCGGCCTGGGGCGGGGAGAGGGAGGCGGCGCCGCCTTTTCATGGCCCTCCTCAACGCTCGCGCGGCCCAGGGTTGCACTGCACTAGGTATCCGGTGCTCGGCAGTGCCTGCGCTCGCCCGCGCTGTCGTGGCCCCGCTCGACCACATTTGCGCCCGCGAGGCAGGTGCCGCCCGAGACGGCGGCGACGGCCCTGGACGCGACAGCGCTGGCGACAACCTCCCACCAACCAGAGGGCAAGTCCTGCTCGGCGGGGCGCTCGCGCGTGCGAGCGCCGCCGGGGCCTTCTCCCGCACCTGGTCCAGCGCGTCCTTCAGGTAGGACAACTCCACCCGTCTTGGGTCCTGCTCGAGCGCCGAGAGCCTGCCGTAGCGCTGGGAGACAAGGCTGGCGGCTCACTCGGTCTTCCACCCTGCCACCATGGTCGCCTTGAGCGCCGCTCTGATTTGTCCAGCTTCTGCTTTGCCATGTTCATGAAGGGCCTGCTCGGAGGTGCGGCGTGGCACGGTCGCGCGCAGCACCTTGCAGCCGCGGCGCCAATCGTCGGTCGTCGTTAACCACTCCCCGAGATGGGGTCGAGGTTTGAGCATGGCGCCGCAGACGTCGGTGGACATGTGGCCGCGCCCGTGAACCTGCAATATCGCCAGCCTCATACTTCGCAGCCCCGCAGGGCGAACCCGCCAACCTCGCGGCCCCACTTCTTCATTGGCAGGGCGGCCGAGTGCAGGATGCGCCTCGTCTTTTTGGAGCCATCATCTCTCGGCGCGCCATGTCGAGTCGCTGCTTGGCCGCCTTCCACCTCTTGCAGCCCCCAGGCAGATGCCGCGCGCGGTCTGTCCGCGCCGCCTATGTCCAGGCGGGAAATGGACCCCCGCATGGCGCACCGTGGTAGGCCTCCCTGGCAAACTCTGGTTATCCTGGCCCTCTCGCGCCCCTTGCCGCGAAGTCGCGCGCGCTCTGCCTTTGGCGGGCCAAGCCCGCCCAGCCCGCGCATGCCCTCGCCGGCGACGGCGTCGCTATTCTCGTGGGCGGCCCTCTCGGAGTCGGCGACCTTCATCCTCAGCTCCACGTGCAATGCGCCCTTGACGTCGCGCCCCGCCTTGGCCATGAGGCCCGCGCGCATGCTCCCAGCGTCGGCTGCAGGCGCCTGGCTGCCGCCGCCGACGCGGGCGACGACCCCCGCCGCAAGGCGCCCAGCTCGTCCGCGAGGTGGGCCTGCGGGGCGCACGTGGCGCTGCCAGCTCTCTTGGCGCGCGCTGCCCCCCGCCAGGCCGCCGAGCACGAGGGCGCGCCTCCGCCCGGGGGCGCCGATGGCGACCCTGAGGGCGCGGAGGGGATTGCGCCCCGCGGTATCCGAGGCGGCGCGAGATGTCGCGCAAGACCTTCTCAAAGGCCTTCGCCAAGTCCCCCGGCGAGATGAGGGCGGCCCCCCCGCCCGCCGCGGCGCCCTCTGCCCGCGCCGCTCCCTGCCGGGCGCAGTCCGCGACCTTCTGGGGAGTGCCTGCGTTGAAGATCCCTCGCTGATCACGGGGGCGCTGCTGGCTCTGCGGGGCAGGCTTGCGACGAAGCCAGCGCGCGCGGCATGGGCTCTTGAACGGGCCTCTGGGGCGCTGTCCACCCTGGGGCTCGATCCGCAGGGGGGTAGGCGCCGGCCTAGCGGGCGCGTCGAGCAGGGCGGCGAGCGGCTCGGCGTCGCTGAGCAAGCCGAGATGGCGAAGACGGGCGCCTCCTGGCGAACACGTCTCGGCCTCGAATGATCAGCTGACCTGTTCGCGCCTGCTCGGCAGCGAGGCGCTGCCCGGCGGCGCTCGCAACCGCGGCCCTGGGCGGAAGCCGCGACCCCCGCGCGCAGGGCGGGCCATAGCTCATCGGGCCTGCCTGGCGGGCGCGCGCCCCAGACTCTCGACCGCTCGCTTGGCCGGCAACGCAACTGGACAAGCCGGGCGGCCCTGGGCGCGCTCCACAGCGCCGTCTACGAACTCGGCTGCACCTTCGCATGGGCTCCTCGCGCACTTGCGCGGCACGCGCGCACCGCGCAGGTGGCCCTCCGTCAGCGCCCCCCGCCAGATCTTGACATCCCTGCGCTGCTTCGGCCCGCCGGACTGACCTGCCCGCGCGCTCTGCGACCGTCGCCGCCGCGCCGCGCGCCCAGCGGTGATCGCCCCCGCTCGACTGCTCGGACTGTTCGACGACGGCATCCGGCCGAGGGCGGCGTCGACCCAGGAGAGCTACTCGTTGTAATCGTCGCGCGCGTGGCACCCGCTGCAAAACGTGCCCTTTCGTTGCAGGCGCCGCGGCAGCACTGGAAGGCCCCTCGCAGGCGCCGTCCGCATCGATCCCGGCGTCCGCGGCTGGAGGCCCCTCCCAGCCTCTCGAAGCGCTGCGCGGCCAAGCCCTTGACCTGGCGCAGCTGACCAGCAAGCCGGGCGGAGGCCCCGCCTTGCGCGGTCTTGCCGTTGCGCGTGGTGGCACAGACCTCTGGGGCAGGAAGCCCGTTTGAGACGGAGAAGGCCCCATCCGCGCTGCTGCGCGGCCTGGGCATCGCAGTCGACTATGCCGTGGAAGTCGGCCCTGGCGGCGCCGGGCCACTGGGCGCGCGCTTGGTCGGTCGCCTGCTGGTTCTCGGTCAGCGCGATCCTCCTGGCGTTCACGGTGCGCTGGTAGGTGCCATCAAGATCATTCTGCGCGCCCACCCAGTCGGGCAGCTCCTGGAGGGGGCCCTCTGGGATCTAGGTCGGGCGGTGGAGCACGCCGCGCGGGATCTCAACCTGGGGCCAGCCCCTGAAATTCTTGAGCCGCCTGGCCAGCCCTCGTACTCTTGGGCCGCATCCACACAGCATCATGAGTCACCGCGCCTAGCGACGGGCCCGCTTGAGGTCGGAGCATCGCTGGTCTAGCGGTGCCCTCATGTCGCCGAGAAATCACCGAAATGGCGCGTGCCGCAGCTGCTCTGGCACGTAGGGTCGGCCGGCATATGCGCTTGCGCGCCTGGGGCCAGGGAACCTGTGAAACTGGCCAGCCCATCGGGGCACACTTTTCATTCCCCGCCCGTGCCTGGCCTGGTGCTCGCGCAGGGGATGCAAGATATCTAAGACGGTGCCCTTCAAGCCGACACTCACCTCGAGGTGCGCGGAGTAGGGTGCCACCGCCAGCTGTCGGAAGTCGAGCGTGCCCAACACACGCTCTACCTGGTCTTCGACCTTGCTCGCGCGCGTCGTACTGGACATCGGTATACGTCCGAGCCAAAGCTGCCGAACTTCTTTGCATCTCCTTATGCTTGGTACTGACTGGGGCGCATAGTACATACAAGAATCACCCATATGACTGCTTCCGTTCCTCCACAAAGACAATCGCAATATCTACGAATAGTAGGATGCCCCGCCCTGGCCACCATGACGTAACGTTGGCCGCGACTGAACTGAGGCCCTTCTGCTTCCTCTCCTCATCGACTGGTCGCTGAAAAGGGTCTCATTGGCCTGCGCGCTGACCTTGTCAATGCTGGCGCTGTCTGTTCTTTGCCATGCCGAGGCGCTGCGTCCTCGGGGGCCCTCTTGCTGTCCTGGGACTTGCGGGCTTGGAGGATATCGTCAAAGTCGCTTTCCTCAAGCTGGTCATCGTTGTCCACGGGTGCAGGTACGTCCTGCCGTTCAGGTGCAAGGGTCTGGCCTGCACAACCTGAGCCGTTGCCATCCACGACTGGTGTTTGGCGAAGAGCTTGTCGACCATGCTGACCACCGCGGGGCCCAAGCTTCCAGCTTCAGGTGCGGCATGGCCGGGAACCTGGGACGCGCTCTGCTCGGAGTCGGCGGTGGGCTCTGGCACTCCAAGCGGCATGGCCAACACCACGGCCTGGCTGAGGCTGGTCTCCGGCTCGGTGACGGTGGCGGTGGCCTGGGTGATGGTGGTCTTTTGATCAGCTACTGCCTCGTCTCCGCCTTCCGCCTCCTCTATGAGCTTCCTGGTTTCGATCACGTCCTTTTGTTTCTTCTTCTTCTTCTTCTTGAGCTCGGCCTCTAGCTGGACTTCTTCGCCTTGGCATTGTCAAACTTGGCTCCCGGCGAGGTGACCTCAGCCTGCGTCTCTGGATGGCGAGGTCCTGTTCGAAATGCTCGGCGTCGGCACCACCCTTCCGATAGGGGGGGATGCTCTACTCGAGGCTGGCGGTATTGCTGTCGATCTCGGCGACGTTGGGATCCACAGCTGCTGGTCCTTCTGCTGCTGGCGCCCCTCCATCTCGGGCGACATCGTTGGTCCATCTGTTCGTAGGCCCACGACTGCTGCCCCCAACGTTAAAGCGGAGCTGGGAAGCTGGCGTGGTCTCGACTTGGGTTTGGCTGCCAGCGGTCTTTGCTGGGCCAGGGCTTCCTGGTGCGCTTGTTTGCGCACGACCAGGCCTGGCGCGTTCCTGCCGCAGAACCACATTACGCGATTGGCCCATAGCCCTTGTTGACGGCACCATGGGCAGCGCCAGTGCGGCTCCTCAGGGCCTAGGAAAGCCTTGCGGCCAGGCTCATTGCCTGCAGCGCCGTCGCCACCAGGATCCCTCCGCGCCATGCCAGCAGACTCCTCGCCGAGAGCGCCGTACTGCTCGCCGTGGTGCCCCGCCAAGGCCCCGAGGGCTTCCACCTCGCGGAGGAGCAGGCGGGCGCCAGCTCGCTGCCTACGCTGTCGGCGGTGCGGGCGAGCGGCAGTGGCTATGGCGGCGCCCAAGCGTCTGAAATCACGGTGCATCGCCGCTCTGGCCAAGGCTGGCGGCGACCGGCGTCTCGCGAATCCGGGCCGCCTCAGCAGCCCGAGCGCTAAACGCAGGAGAAGAGAAGGGATTGAGTGTCATGAGTGTCATGATCGCCACAGTCTACGTGGCAGGCGGGACTAGCGAGAGCCAGGGATTAACCGACGCCCCTCGACGCGGCGGACCCGACGAGAAGAGAAGGGATAGGGGGGGACCGGGGCCAGGGAGGGGAAGACGGAGGCCGAGGAGATCGCCGAGCTGTGTCCCAGTGGCCGCCGCGAGGGCTCTGGGAGCACGCACCACGGCCTCCGAGGTCCGAGCTCCTCCTGGGAGCGTGCAGAAGCTCAAGCATTTGGATGCTCGGCCTCGTCCGAGTTGCCATGAGAGCCGTTCAGTCCTCCTCCTCCTCCTCCTCCTCCTCCTCCTCCTCCGCCTCCTCCTCCTCCTCCTCCTCCTCCTCCTCCTCCTCCTCCTCCTCCTCCTCCTCCTCCTCTCCCTCCTCCTCCTCGAGCGGCAGCGCAGGGCCTCTTCCTGCTGCTGTCCTCCTTGGGTCTCGGAAGCTGGACCTCGCGCAGGTTGCCTCTCCGGACGTCCGGATGGTTGGAAGCGGTGGCACCTGTCAGTAGCAAGTGGCCTGCAGATCCTCCTCCTCGGTCGGTCGGTCGGTCGATAAGGTCCAACCGAAATCCGCAACCCGTGCTTTAAGTTGTGAGGAGAAAAGGTGATGAGGTACGGCGCCGCAGTGTAGGAGACAATGCGCCTCTGGAAAGCCTGCGCAGAAGACTCGCCCTGCACTCCACTGGCCCCCTGGGCCCCCAGGCTCCTCCTCCTCCTCTTCCTCCGCCTCCTCCTCCTCCTCCACCTCCTCCGCCTCCGCCTCCTCCTCCGCCTCCTCCTCCCTCTGACAGCATTGGTAGCACACCAAGAAGGCCCGGGCGCGTCCACTCGTTCTTGAGCCACGTGTCCAACAGCCTGTGCACGCCACCGACAAACCCCCCTGGGTCCCCGGGCTCTTCCTCCTCCTCCTCCGCTTCCTCCTCTGACAGCAGCGGTAGCACAACCAGAAGGCCCAGACGCCTCCACTCCTTCTTGAGCCACGTGTCCAGCAGCCCGTGCACGCCACCGACGTCCTCGCCGCAGACCTGCGGCCCCCGCGCGCGCCACCCTCTCGAGCACCAGGGACCGCTCTGGCCGCCAGGGCCCTCGGGACGGAGGAGCAGGATCGGCGGCGAGCGATGGGGGGAAGTGAGAAGGAGAAGGCCTTCGTAGAATGCGACGGGGCTTCTCAGAAGCCCTCGCGCCTTCTGAAGCGTTTGCGTTTTCGGAGAAGGCTGTGAAAAAATCCCAGACGGCCCGGGGAATTCCGAGGCTTCTGAGAAGCCCTCTCCTTGCCACTTCCCCCCCTCGCTCGCCGCCGACAGGAGAGGCAGATCACCATGCTGTCGGGGACTTCTAACAGGGGATAGGGTGACCCCTATTTTGAGGCTTCGTGGGATGTGCGAGTGGACCAAACATTTGAGGCCCATCCCTGGGATATACGATGGGGGGTCGCCCCTCCTCGACAAGGGGTGCGTCCGCATCGCCACCTGGGGGTGTATGCCAGGGTTTCCCTCCTCTTCTGAGCGTTTCCGTGCTTCGTCGACAAGTCGGAAGTTGGGGATGAAACCTCGCCTGCAAACTTCTGCTTAGTGTGTCGCGGCGGCGGCCCCGGCGACACGCCGTGCCCTGCGAGCGGAAATAGCGTGCCTGCTCCGCTCCGCGCAGCGGGAGGCTCGGAAAAGGCTCGGGACCTTGGCGCGGGGGGACTCGGACGTGGATCGCGTGTCGCGCCGAAGTGTGGTGGTAAGGAGGAGGAGGAGGAGGAGGAGGAGGAGGAGGAGGAGGAGGTGGCGGCGGAGGAGGAGCAGGAGGAGCAGGAGGAGGACGACGAATAGGCGCAGCAGAGCAGGCAGCCGCGCGAATCCCGAGAGCACCGCGAGCGACACGCTGAGCCAAAGCGCCTGACCGCAACCGTAAGCTGTCGGAAGTCCGCGCGGATCTCCCGGAGCGGTGCCAGACCCTCCTGTCCCTGACGCGCGGGGGCGCGTCAGGACCAGCGCCGGAGGCGTCGCCAGGTGGGCCCAGCGCAGATCCCAGAAATGCGCATGTTTTGTTACAGTCGGGCTGCTGCAAGAAGGAACGATGAACAAGGAACGAAGCCCCTTTTGGCCCCACAAGCGGCTGCGTGCACGAGGAGGGCTAGAGGACAAGCCATAGAAGGACCCAAGGAATCTCGAGCCCCTTTCTTACCCAAACTCTTCCTTATTTCAGCGACTCGGCTGTAGTGCCGTGTGCATCATGTGATAGATGTCCGTGCCAAGCTGACGGCCGTCTTTCAAATCTGCTGTGTGTGCCGTGCGTGACGGTCGCGCCAGCCGATGGCCTCCAGCGCTGCCCCCCTCCTTCCTTCGGCAGCTCGCACTGGCACGCACAACCCGTGAGTCCACCTGCGCGCTCCTGGAGACGTAGACTCGCTGCGCCTGGGGCCTCCGCCCCGTTCTCTCCTCCGCGGCCGCCCTCTTCTCCGGCTGCTCAAGCGTGCAGATAGTGGCCGTGGCCCAGTGGGGATCGACGAGTGGCGGGGGGAGAGGCGCGCCCTCGTCGTGTCCCTTTTGGGCCCCGGGGGTGGCCTTTAGGGTACCTTGTTGGCACCCCCAAAAATACTTTCCTTCACCCCTCACTCATCCCCCGCCCCCCCCCCCAATTACGTTCTGCTGCATCCTCGGGGGACCTTGCCTGTCTCCTCTCGGCCCTATCCGCGTCGAATCGGTGTCGAATCAATGTCGGACTCGTCGGACCCGTGTCGAATCCGTGTCGAATCCGCGTCGCATCCACGCCAGCTCGCGTCGAGTCCAGATCGAGCCCGCGTCGGGCACAAGAAAAGACGCACATTTTTTTGGGGGCAGGCGAGGTCCCTCGAAGATGCAACGCAAATTGCGCAACGCCCAAACTTAGCGCGGCGCGGCCCGCCGGTGATTCGAACGCGTCGGCGACCGCTGGTGCTGCGGGCCAGAAAGCTCACGCCGTGTGTCCTTCTTCGGTGAGGGGCTAATTACGAGTCCAGGGACTGCGGAGTCGCTGCTGCTGCTCTCAAGCCTGAGGGCGCCCTTCGCGGCAGAGAACGCTGTCTGAACACCTGTGCCTTTTCTTCGATCCGTGAAGCGTGCTCGTGGTCGCCGAACGAAGGGCGGGAAAGGAAGAAAGGGCGTTCACCATCGCCTCGATCTTGATTGGCATTGACGCCGTCTCCGGCACCCTCCAGGAGCGAATGCTGGACTGGCCTCTGAGGCGCAGGGCACCTGCTGTTCGAGGCGACGCTGCTGCTCCTTGCCAGCGGCTGGCGTCTCGCTCCGCTCCGCGGGGCGAGATTTCTTGTTTTTCTTTTTTAGGGGAGGTCACCCCCTCCACTGCGAAACGCCCGGCCGCCTCGGAGGCCCGCGCCGTCGAGGCCTCGCCGCCGGGAGCCTCCGCCGCCGCTCGCCGCCCGCCGCCGCCCCTCTCCCGAAGGGCGCTCTGGCGAAGGCCTCCAGGCGAGCCCGGCCGTGGCTCGGAAGAGCGACGACCCTGACCTTCCAGGAGGGCCAAAAAATAGCACCCGACTTAAAGACCTATCCCAGAGCCATTCTACGTCTTGGTTTTAGGCGGTTTCGCTCAGCTTTTTAGGTTTTTAGGTCTCCAGTGCTAAAAAATAACTCTCTGGAAGGTCAGGGGAGCTCCGCGGGGCGGGAGGCTCGGGCAGACGTCGGGACGCCGACGCCGGGGGGGCCGACAAAAGAGGACGGCGTGCCTCGCGCCGCAGCGCGGCGGGCCAGGATCCCGGCGGCGTCGGAGGCCCGCAGGGGAGGGGGCGCGCGACAATTATGGGGGGGGGGGGAAGCGACAATCAGGAGGGGGAGGCGATAATTTATGAGGGGGGGGGAGACAATTATGAGAGGGGGCGACATTTTATGAGGGGGGGGGGAGACAATTATGACGGGGGCGACAAGTATGAGGGGGGGGCGACAACTAGGAGGGGGGGGGCGACAATCAGGAGGGGGGGGGGGAGACAGTCATGAGGGGGGCGACAATAATATGAGGGGGGGGGGCGACAATCATGAGGGGGGGCGGCGATTATGAGGGGGGGGGAGACAGGTGATACTTTCGGGCCCCGAGGGCCGCCCCCCCCGGTCCTGCAGGGCCCCTCTAGCAGGGGCCCTCCGGGGCTTGCTTTCTGCAGCCTGCGCTGGCCCGCCCCCTCTTGATCGCCTTCCTTTTCTGCGCGGCCTCCATGTCGATCTCTCGAACTGGCGCCGGACATCCCCCCATCCGTGGCGCGCGGGCCGCGCCAGGAGCGGTGCCGGAGGCGCCGCCAGGTGGGCCCAGCGCAGATCCCACAAATCTGAGCGGACCTTCGAAGTGCTTCTTCTTTGGTGAACGTTTTCTCATCCGGCGTTTCGGCACAGAGCGGGAGGGTGGGGGGGAGGGTGGGGGTTAGCTCCATACCTCTGCTTGATGCGACTGTTTTGCGTCCAAACCCCAGCTCAAGCGGGGGTGCGAGGGCCCGCGCCGATCTGCAAAACAGCGAATGAAAAAAACGATCCCTTCAAGACATCTTTGTCTTGGGGTGGGCCAAAATTGGCGAAGCGACAAGCCATCAAGAAGTGTGTGTGTGTGTGTTTGAGTGTGTGTGTGTGTGTGTGCGTGCGCGTGTGAATGTGTGTGTGTGTGTGTGTCTGTGTGCGGGTGTGTGTGTGTGTGTGTGTGTTCCTCTGGCCAGGCGCCCCTGGCGCTGCTGGTCGGAGGGCGCCGGTGGCCTCGGGCCACCGCGCTCGGCCGCAGCTGCCACGGGGTTGTGAGGCCAGCGCGGGGCCGCCATCGAGGCGGCTGGGCGCACTGCGGCTGTCGAAGCGTGCCCGCTCCCCGTCAGCGCAGTGTTGGATGCACCCCCGCTCAGAGTTAGCATCAGGTCGGGCGTGTCCTCCTACAGGCGGGCTCTGGACGGCAGATGGAAAATAGTCAAAAAATGCTCAAACATTGTCAGCAATAGTAAGAAAATCGTCCTCCGACTGTTTTTGGACTATTTCTGAATATTCCACCTGCAGAGGGACAGGCCCGACCTATTAAAGTTAGCAGAATGATCATACTTCACTCCGAGCGTGCCCTTGAACAGTGGTACAGCTCCAGATGTGCGATCCCTCTACGAACAACATCGAGGAAGACGCCCAGGCGCCGGTGAAGATTCATGAGCGAAACCTGTGGCCCATGGAAGCTAACGTTCTTCTTCAGATGTTTGATCGGTGTAAGGAATGCAGGACCTGAAGCCATGGACATCACCGCCGCCCTAATCAGTTCAGGAATCATCCAGGGTCTGAAGCCTCCTGGGCCCATTCCTTAATCAACGCCCCTCCGTGCTGACGCTGGCCATATGCTGCGACATGGGAAGTCTTGCCCACCATCGCCCGCGACGGCAATGCTATGAGACATTGGGCCAACAGCCTGCAGCCAAGGCTGCGGTCGAGAAGCGACTGACCCACGAGAGACGGGCCAGCTTCCTGTCGACGTGATGAACCATGGTTGCCGAGGGACTCCCATGGTGGGCCCCCTTGGCGTTTCGGGGGCAAGAAGCTGCAAGTTTGGAGATAAAGAGAAAAGAAGGAAAGGAGAGGGAGATGGGGGCAGAGAAGGAGGAGGAGGAGGAGGAGGAGGAAGAGGAGGGGGAGGGTGAGGGGGAGGGGAGGAGGAGGAGGAGGAGGAGGAGGAGGAGGAGGAGGACGAGGAGGAGGAGGAGGACAAGGAGGAGGAGGAGGAGGAAGAGGACAAGGAGGAGAAGGAGGAGGATGATGATGAGGAGTCCCGTCTCACTAATGCATCCCCCTCCCCGCCCCCCTGCGCCCGACGCAGCCTCGATGTAGCCTTTTCCCCGGATCTCCACCAGGAGGTGCGGCTGGTCCTCTCCACGACGCATGAGGAGGAGGAGCGACACATACAGCAAACATGTACGGCAACTAAACCCTGTTGTGAGAGCTCGTGGGGCCGATTCTTCGTCGAGGCTTGAAGGTCCTGAGGTGCCCAGACCTTCTGCGGGTCCCTGGGGCCATCGGGGGACAAGACAGTCCCGAGGGGCACCTGCTGGCGGGGCTGATCGGCTTCTCAGCTGATGCGCCCAAGGTGGGGGCGCGCGGAGCAGGCAGTGAGAGAGAGAGAGAGAGCATCCCCTTGGTCTCCCCAGAATTCGGTTGCTCCCATCGTACTTGCGGACCACATCCCAGCAATAGTTTCGAGCACCTGGAAAAGTGTCGAAAGAGTGTCGGAACAGTGTCGAAGCAGTGTCGGACGAGTGTCTCCCAGGGCCCGGCACGTGAAAACACTGAGTTTCGGTATGGTGCTCGAAATACTTTCTGGTAATCAAAGCTAAAGTAGGTTGGACCATCACAACCCCGGAAAACCAAAGAGAGGCGGCGTCGGGAAAGGACTGGGGGAGGCGGGGTCTGGTGGGAGAGAGGAAGGAGAGAGCGGGGGGATGGGAGGGAAGACAAGCTTGGTGCGCTCGCGTAACGTCTGACAATTCTGCCCCTCCCTCCAATCCCTTCCCATTGCGCTGAGATTCATCTGTCCGCCAACGGGTGTGATAGCGGACCTGTAACGCCCAAAGAGGCTACCTTATCGCTTACGCGCAATATGAAAAGAGGAGCTATGTACAGTGGAAGAGGCGGAGGCAGCGGATGACCAGAGGAATGAGCAGGATGAAGAGAAGAAGGATGAGGAAGGAGGACGAGGAGGAACTGCAGCAGGGGGAACAGGGGGAGCGGGAGGAGCAGACGGACCATGGGAAAGCGGGGGAGAGGAAATCATCTGGGCGACAGTGGCAAGGAACCGCTCGGATCTTGAACTGTGATCCGCGCCGAGGCGGAAGCACCCTTCGGAACGACGGGACCAGAGCGCCGATACTACCGTGAGGCCAGCGCTGCAGAGGGAGAGACGCCATCCTGAAGGACTGAGAGCGGGAAGAGCAAAAGGTACCGATACCGCGATACCCTCGACCTCTCCCGGGGTGCGCTCCGACCAGAGTCCCGAGGCGAATCGAGCGGGGGCGACGACGGCCTCCCAGGAGGCCGCAAGAGCGGAAAACGGGCGAAGGGTAGCAGTAAGGGTACCTTCTCCTCCTCTGAGAGAACGCTCCGATCGGGGAAGACACACTAAAGAAAACCACAGCATCGTGCCAGACTCCTGCCTCTAGACGCACAGTACGTGCGAGGAGGGAGCGAGCGACGCTCAGGAAATTGTTGGGGATATAGACAAAAGAGCAGTGCTCAAGAGGTGTAGTCGTGGGGAAGAGGAGTGGGATGGCGCCGAGATGAGGGAACGTGGAGGGGGATTGGGGGACCTGGAGGTGGAGAGGAGGCGGGCGGGCGGGGGAGAATGAAATTGTTGCCGCGTCGCGTATCCCCACCATCTGCTTCCGCTCCCTGACCTTTGCCTTGGAGCCGCCGACCGAAAAAAAGTATCCCCACCAGCCCATCCAGAAACGATGCCCAGGGGAGTTGAGGTGATCAGGGGAGCGGGGCCCATGCAGAAACACAAAGAGCGGGGAACGCCGTCCGATATCCCAAGGGGGGGTGGATGGTGGAGGAGGGGGGGGAGGAGGAGGAGGAGGAGGAGGAGGAGGAGGAGGAGGAGGAGGAGGAGGAGGGAGGAGGAGGAGGAGGAGGAGGAGGAGACGAAGGCATTTCGGCCGAGGGGCTAGCCTCCGAGCGGAGGCCCGCCCCCGTCGGCCGTGCCTCGGCGCGCCGCGGTGCGCCATAGAGCGGTGGGAGGCCCCAGGCCGACCCCTCCCGCTGCTCTCGAGGCGCGGCGGCCGCGCGGCGCTGCGGACTGCGGCGTGGGCTACCCCGCTGGCGGCTTCGCCGCCCAGGTTGCTGGCCACGCCGTCGGACGGCGGCTGGCACAGGCGGGATCGGGCCCGCCGCAGCACAGCCAGAACCCTCCTCAGGGTCATCGAGGCGGCGCGAACACTGGACCAACACCACAGTGCGCAGCAGAGCATGCATCGTCGCGACCAACAGCGTAGCGGCAACGGATATGCGGGTGGTAGTGGAAACAATTCTTGGCAATGGAAAGATCAGACACCATGGAGGCAGACTCGCAAGTCGGGAAGGAGCCAATCGCGTCCCAGAGCGAAGGAGAAGGACGGCGCTGGGCAGAACAATAGGTTCGACAAGCTGAATGACACGATCCCGATTGCCACTCAAGAAGATGCGGTTGGCCACCCAGCATTCGCCTGGCCACCTGAAGAGAAGGGGGCAGCCAAGGAGCACCGCGCTATGCTGCTACGCCGCATGAACGGGCTCCTCAAGATGATCGCGGCGGCAAAGGAAGCGAAGGAGACGGCCACAACGCAGATCACAGAGGTGTCAATGATAAAATACACCCTCCTCATCATGAGGCCATCGTATAGGCAGAAGAAGATTCTGGAGCATGACTTGGAAAAAATTGATGGTCAATTACGAAAAGTTGGTATGGATATCAAAAAGCTTCGGGAAACAGAGGTGGAGTTGCGAGGGAAACGTACCCAGATCGAGATATTGATGAGCGACCTTCAACGTCAGCGTGAAGAAGAGGAAGCGGAGGATGATCGGGAGATGGAGGATGATAGCGGAGATGTGGAAGACACCAGGGCACGTCCACGGGTACTACCTCCACCACCGCGGCCTCCAGATGCAATGGAAAAGATGCTACAGCAAATGACTCACTTGACAAAGTTGGTCACGGAGCAGTCGGTCAAGATTCAACAACACGAAAGCATCATGAACCAGCAGTTCCTTGGCATGGGATATCACCAGCACGCTGCGGCACCAGAAGAACACCAGAGGCAGCAACAACAGGAAGCTGAGCGACAGCGCCAGCTTCATGTACAGCAGCAGCAGCAGCAGCAAAATCAGATTCTCCTACAGCAGATGCAGCAGCAGGCTTTGCAGCAGCAGTTGCAGCAACCCCAGCAGCAGGTACTTCAGCAGGCTTTGCTTCAGCAACAACAGCTGCAACAAGTGCAACAATCCGCGCAGCAGAATGTGCCCGAGATTCCTCTCCCGCAGCAGCAGATGTTTTTGCAGCAGCAACAAGCGTACAAGGACTGGCTCTACCGACAGCATCAGACAATGTTTGCATCCATTTCCAAGGAGGAGCACGAAAGGCAACTACAGGAGTTCTCGCGAGAGCAGAATGACCAGGCGGAAGCGGAGGACCTGCGTGACTTGCAGGATTTCGCGCAGGAGTTCAATGCCTGGGAGGAGAACCAGCGCCAGCAAGTGGAGATCGCCCAGGCCATCAATAGATCCATGCAAGAACACCAGGGGCAGCCTCCTCCTCCCAGGTCTCCAGGGCCGCCATTGCCGTCTACGGAAGAAGTTGATCAAGCCCTCCTTCAGCAAAGTCAGATAAGCCAGGCGACCCCATTCTCGAGAGATGAGCAACAAGCAGAAGAGGAAGAGAAGACACAATCGTTTACACTTTCTCCGACGGAACAGGTTACATCACAGATTCCAGCAGAACAAAGAACCCCAGTGCGTCAGAGCGATGATCCATATGTCGGAGTCAGCCCTCTTCATTTTCCTCAAGTACCAGCTGGCAAGTGCGGGGCGATGAAACCGTTTTTCGAGCGGAAGGCGAAATTGCAAGAGATATCGCCGACGCAGCCCATGACACCTATCGGACGAGATGGTCCAGTTTATCATGCGATTGGGACACCACCTGCCGGAGGTACCCCCCAGGCAGCCTCGTCGGACAGTGGGGAAAGTATAGTGGGTCGTCAGCCTCCAGCAAAAGTACGTATTGGCGAGCGAGACGGAGGAGATGGGTTTGAACAGCCAGCTGATCGCACACGGATTTCATCGCAGTCCAGGCCATCAGCTGCATCGAGCTCGTCAAAAAAGTGAGGTGGGAGACTCCGACGCAGAGGGCTGGCCACCGAGCGTCGGAGGTGTTTGCAACGAGGGCCACATGTAAGACTCGAATTCAGGGCATTTTGCCACTGTCGTCAACGGAATCTGGGACGTCCGCGACGACATCACCATCGGCCTCGAATCTCCTTTCATCTCCTTTGGCACTTGCATCCCCAATTACAGAATCTCTAGATCCGTCGCAATGCTGTGGTGGCATTCCATTTCATTGTCATGCTGATCGGGGTGCACATGATACTGATCTTTTTCTAGGCGAGAAGGGCCGAAAAGTACGTAGGGAAACCACGGCGGATTTGCAGGAACACGCTTCTTCAGGAGGTGGAGATCCTCATCCTTCGGCTCCTTTCTCGAGGTCAGCGTTGTCTATTCCTCCCCCTCCTGGCTTGGAAGGACAGGCGTCGACCATGCAGGGGGGCTCGTCAGCGCCTGGAGTCTTACGTCACCAGGCTCACCCTCTAGGACCAGCTGTACCTGCACATACACAACATCGTCATTTCCTAGGTTCCGTCTCTCATCCGACACGACACAAACGGTGCGAGGTGGAGATTCCAAGAACTTTCTTGGAGGTAATCGGCCAGCTGGACTACCCAGTACGACTTGCACATGATCTATCACGAGTTGAATTATCGGACATGGCCAAGTCTCCACTGCGTGTGGTTTCAGGGCGACCAGGGGTGCCAGCATCGGGGCCTATCTCGGGGCACCTTTGGACGGACGGTTCCCACAAAGAGTCTGACCCCACCTGTGATGGGTGGGCTGTGGTGGTTGGACTTGGACATGGGACGGACTGCTTCTATCAAGGATTTCTATCATCGCGTACTCTTGGCAGCTCACTTCTAGTATCTGAGGAAGGCAACCTAGACAGCACTACATCCGAGATGGTCGCCATGGTTTGGGCATTGGTATACGTGTTACAGGAGAGCCAATATAGAAACATCACGTGGACGATTACATCAGATTCGAAAGTCACTCTCGGGGTTGTGCATCGACAACACGGGTATCAACCCAATGAGAAACTAGCAGCCTTTCTGTCGATTTTAACTCAAGAAGTACAGCACAGGTGCCAGGTGGATTTCCGATACACAAAATCACATGATGGAGATGGCTGGAACCACTTGGCTGACAACATTGCGAAAGCGAACCTCAAGTTTAACCTAAGGGAACATCATATACAGCTTGCAGGGCTCCTACGTTATCAGTCAGGCCTAGAATGGTTGTGGCTCAGGTATTCTCATGAGGACGCCGAATGCTACCCAAAGGTTACGGATGATGGACTCGACTTTTGTATGCCAGCACGTCTTGCGCATCAAGAACACAGCAAAATTGGCACATTGGGTAAGCTTAAGGAGTGCTTGTACGACACGAAGGCCAGCAATAGGAAGGCCAAATCCTCTCAGGTCTCATTTAAGATAGCCACGTACAACGCCATGTCCCTGACGGAGGCCAGGTCGAGTAAGTTAAACCGACATCAGAGGGCAGCCAAAAAACATCGGCTACAACGACTTCGTCTACAGTTTCAAGATGAACAGCTTTTACTTGTCGGGGTACAGGAAGCTCGTGGGAAGGCTGGGCAGCAGTGGGCAGATAATTATATCACGCTTCGCTCTGGTGCAGACGCTGGAGGTCATGGCTGTGCTCTTTTGGTCTCTACGGCGATACCATATGCTCATGACTCGCAGAACTCAAGGCCCTTTTTCCTGTCCGACAAAAACTTACGTGTGTTGATTCGCGAACCGACCCGGTTAATGGTTAGAATATCGGCGACTCACCTGAAGCTAACTATTGGTATCTTTCATGCCCCCCAGCGAGGCAGACCAGTTTCAGAACGAAAGCAATGGTGGGATGAGACGTCGGATATTCTATCACAACATCCAGCTGACATTCTTTGCATGGACGCGAATGCGCGGATGGATCACACTACCATGGAACTCCCTTACGTTGGATGCAGGGGGCCAACGAGCAAAGCAGACGATTCGGGCAGACGGCTTTCAGACCTTGGCCTACGACACAAGCTATACATATACAACACTATTCATGGAGGTAATGATGATTGGACGTACACCGATGGTACTGCTACTCATCGCTCCGATTATGTCGGGCTTAGTCAGACATGGTACGATTCTGCACAACATCTGCACGTCATCAAAGACTTGGATACAGGTTTGCAACAGGAGGATCATCGGCCAGTCACGGTAAGCTTTAGATGTCAACACGTTGCTCGAACTTGTGATGGACCAGTACCTCTACGACTTTCATATGAAAAGCTGGCAGATCCTGGACTACAGCTTGAATTTCGTCGCAGGCTCGAGACGCTACGTCCTGGACATTGGGAACAAGAGGTCAACAATCAGTATGCTGAGGCTATTGGTGGCATCAAAAAGTACGCCAAGGAAATTTTCTCGAAGGATCTGTTGACTCCACATCAAGCATATATTAGTCGAAACACCATGCAGCTCATCCGATTGCGTCGGTATGTATTGACGGCTCGGAGGAAATGGAAACGCAAGGAGTCGAATGCCTTCGATAACCTATGCAAGTTCCTGCCGAGACAACTGGGCACTTACTCCAATGAAGGTGATCCTTGGCATCCCCAGACGCAACAGTTGGTATTAGGTATTGCTTTACTTCGGGACAAAATGTGGTCATTGCAGGAGTTTGCGGCTCAGCTTGACTCGTTTATGGTGGTCACCCAGTCTATATTATCTGATAGGCTGGAGAAAGAGAAGGCAGACCGATTGGAATCTTTCGCTGATCAAATTGGAGAGGCAACTCTTGCTGGAGATAACCGTCTAGCATGGCAAGCTGCAAATAAACTATTGCGCAGCGCTGGGCGGCAACATCCACGGCACACTGGAGGGTCTTTTCTTCCATATCGAGTGGACAACAACGGGGCTGTCATTGGATCAGATGAAGCTATGGGCCAGAACAGGATGAAGGTATACTCCAAGCTTGAGGATGCACGTATTCTGGATGCTGCTTCATATGTGGACGAATTTGTAAAATTTCCGAGTACGGCTTTGGACGAC